TGAAAGTGATAGTATAAAAGTATTTAAAATGCAGAAGAGGGTGTTGAAAATAATTAATGACTTGGTAAACAAGAGTCATGCAGGCAAATTTTTAAAGATTATGACATCCTCACGGTCACATCTTTGTATATCTTAGAGGTGTTATGTTACACAAAAAGCACAAAGCAGATTTGATCCAAAATATAAATATTCATGGTTATAACACAAGAGTAAACTAGGATTTTCATGTTCAATTCTGCAGAACTACATTATTTTAAAAAAGTATGGTTAATATGGGGATAGAATTGTATAGTAAGGTGCCAAACAAAATAAAAACTCGGTGGGTTTTCAGCTTTTAAAAAAGACTTAAAATCATTTTTATTTGAAACATTCTCTTTATACAATAAATTAATTTGTTAGTTTTAATAAAAAAGTGGGCGGTGCAAGTGCTTATGTTTGGATGTCATAGCCATTCATGAGCTGTATATAGTAGTTTGTATGTGTTTTGGAATGTTGTATTTATATATTGCTTATGATTGTAACAAATGTTGGTAGTATGCTTGTAACTTTGTAGATTTATTTTGTTAACTTGTATTACCGAATGACGTGTCCAAATGTTACTATGTAGCAAAACGGATGAAATAAAATACAATACAGTGCGTCATGAAGGCGTATGGGAGAGTTGATGTATAGATCCATATTTTCTCGACCTCTGCACCAGCTGGAGGTGAGTGAGTTTCACGCCCCGGTCGCTTCCCCCCCCCCTTACGTATTGGATAGGAGGTAAGGTGGACCCCAGAGCCTGCCTGGACGACATGGTTAAGAGAATTCTTGACCCTACCGGGACTTTTAACTCCGACCTCACGGTCCTCACGGTCGTCCACCCCGTAGCTAGTCGCTATACCGACGATACAGACGATACAGACTACGCTATCCCGCCATCTACCATACCCGTATGTAACATTCTATCCTTAATTTAGCTTTCTGGAGCATCGTGATTTCTATATCCACATAAAAATAGTACATGTATTCTGAGAATTAGAAACCTGTTCAATTTCAGTATGGGAGGATGTCTATTACGCTGGTGATAAAAAAAATAATCCAAAATCTACTGCAGTACTTTAGATAATCCATGACGTAGTTGAGTAGTGTGGTGTACTCTGTGAGAACCGGTGCGAACCGTAACATAATACTCGTCGATCCTCATCGGTGGATGCGGTATTCCGTGCATTCGTGCGCTTCTCCGTTAATAATAATAAAGAAATTTGTTACTCTGTGTCCTCTGTGTCATTTGTCAGATTGCTAAGTAAGGTTAAGTACGTACGGGTTTGGAGTTTTATGGAATGACTCGTAAGCGGAGTACGGTCTTGAAAGCTAATAAGGCAACTGATGAGGAGATGAAAGTGCTGAAAGTGAATTCTTCGTAACAGTCGTGACTTGTTTTGATTTCGAGATTGTCGCAGCGTTGGATATGAAGAGGTCTGTTTTAGTTTTGTAACATTGGGTAGTTCGGTAAAATTCAGCCCACGTTTCAGAGGAACCTAATACCAACATCTTCAGGGTGGAAAGTAAGCCATGGAAGAAACCAGCATAGAACTTCGGTTGACCTATACTGGGCTACACGGTCTTATATCCCAGGAGACAGGACTGTTCAATTGCGTACTTGTACCGATGTAAAAATATTTAGTCAGATTAAAATTTTGGTGATATTTTAAAAGAACTGTACGGAAATTGCCGTTTTCAGCTTTCAAAGCATGTGAGTTCTGACGTTTGAAGGAGTCACTGTAAGGAAAACTCACTGAATAGTTTGCGTATGTGTATTTACACTATTATGCTTGCCAACTACTGCTTCTGTACAAAATTTCCTACGACAATGTCCACTGAAAATCTTAAGAAAAGAAGTTAGGAAACTTACACGTAGTGTAACAGTTGAGGTGTGTTCCACAGTTTTGTGTGTAAGTATCTCAAAAACAGTAAGGCTTCATCAAAAAGGAAGTATACTTATATTGCACATAAAATGCATGTTTAATTTTTCTCTGCCGCTTCTTTTAGAAACATTTTTACTGTGATGTATGTTTAGCAGGAGGTGGGTTAGTGCAGTCGGTATAGCGACTGACTAGAAGCTGAACAATGGGAGGGTCAGAGTTCAAGTTCTGTTAGGGGTAAGGTTTATCTTCTCCATGTCATCCAGACCTGTTCTGGGTCCCATCCAGCCTCCTATCCAGTGGGTACCAAGGGCTCATTCCCTAGGGTTAAAAGTGTTGGGGTGTGAAGTTGAATGCTCACTTCAAACTAATGGCTTCTTGGCATTGTGCTTAATCAGTTAAGCACAGCGACAACTTTACCTTACCTTTTATGTGTTCAGGAAGTTGAACTTGAGATGCAAGCAGAAATTAATACATGGTTTTCATGTAGTGTCAGTTGCTTTTAGCTGAAATTAGAATGTCAGATTTAACAAACAGTGGTGTATCAAATTTAATCGAGAGCCATTCATCCATTCTCAGTTTTTGAGTATTCACTATCAAGAGTTGCAAATATGCATGTATTCACTGTAACATGTGTCTTTGTCTGAATGTAGCATCACAAAAACCTCAAGTGGACATTCACAAAGCTGGATATTGGGGTAGTTTTGCAATTATTTCTCAGCACATTCCAGCTCTGATTAAAGTCAAGCAACAATAATGAGCAGTTTACATAAAGACCTACATATGTATCTGTGTGCAAGTCTCAAAATATTTTGTCAGAGTGAAAACTGTTTCACGCATACTTTGTTAAGAAACTGTAACACATTTTATGCCCAACACACTGTTTCAGTAATTCTTAGTGTTTTAGAGGTAATAAACAAAAGGGTGTGAATATTCCAGAATTGTACATTGCATGCATAGATTTCCCGGAAGGTATGATCATATACTGGAATCAAGGAAGTTTTGAGGCTGAAGAGCCAGTGCCAACCTTAAAAGAAGTAGAACAAGCTATCAAAAAATTGAAAAATAATAAAGCTTCAGGAATGGATCTCATCACGGCAGAATTAGTGAAATTTGCAGGCCCAGAATATGCTAAGCACTTACATCAGCTAATAGTTAAAATATGGATAACTGAAATAATCCCAGAGGAATGGAACCAAAGTATTATATGCCCTGTCCATAAGAAAGGTGATGTACATGGTATGCTCTAACTATAGAGGAATTAGTCTGTTCTGCATAGGATATATAATATTTTTCAACATTCTATTTAACATATTCTCTCCCTTTGTGGAAGGCATATTTGCGGATTACCAATGTGGGTTTCGTCAAGGAAGATCAACTAATGATCAGATTTTCACTATTTGTCAGGTCCTTGAAAAGTGTAATGAAATCCAAATTAAAACATATCATCTTTTCATTGACTTCGCCTATGACTCCATAGATAGAGATAGTCTTTCTCTGGCAATGGAAGAGATGCACATTCCACAGAAGTTAATCGCCTTAGTCAGAGCCACTATGAGAAAGACCCAATGCCAAATTAAGATTCAGAATATGTTGTCCAGTCCTATAATAACTAGAAATGGAGTTTGACAAGGGGAATCCTTAGCCTGCCTTTTGTTCAATATAGCATTAGAGAAGGTAGTTAGAGATGCAGGCATCAGCACAAGGGGAACTATATTCTATAAGTCAGTTCAAATTTTGGCATTTGCAGATGATATTGATATAATTGGTAGAACACAAAAATCTATGAAAGAAGCTTTTCTTAATTTGGAAAGAGCAGCAAAAAAGATGAATCTACAAATTAACCAAAATAAAACAAAGTACATGCTGGTAACCAAGAAAGACCGTGCTAATGGACCCGCATATATTGAAAATGGCTCATATAAATTTGAGGTTGTATGTAGTTTTACTTACCTTGGATCAGAAGTTAACCGTAAAAATGACATCAATGTTGAAATAAAAAAGTGTGTACTTGCAGCAAATAAATGTCTCCATGGGCTTAGGAAACACCTGAAATCCCAATTAATACCCAGGAAAACCAGAACTATGATGTATAAAGTACTTATAAGATCAGTGCTATCATATGCCTCTGAGACCTGGCCACTGTCAAGATCGGATGAAAGACTGTGAAGTATATTTGAAAGGAGTATCCTGAGATATATCTTTGGACCAGTGGAAGAAAATGGAATATGGAGGAAGAGGTATAACCATGAGATATACAAACTATTTAATGAACCAGACATTATTGGATTTATAAAGGTGAAAAGGCTTGAATGGGCTGGACACATAATACGTGCCAGTGAGAATAGAGAGATTAAGAAAATACTTAATACTAAACCAGAAGGAAATAGGGAATGTAGCATCAAATGGAGAAGAATGGCAAGCAATCTTGAGGAAGGCCAGGGCTCACAAAGGGCTGTCGTGTCAGTGATGATGATGACAATGATGCATAGATTTCCTGACATTGTGTATTGCCAAGTGCAGTGTGTATCTGCAGTTAAAATTTTTCACAGAATTATTACTTGGTGAGCACTGTTAATCTGCATAATTTTGAAAGAAATTTTGACATGATGGCTTCAGCAGTTTCACTGTTAGTCAAGAAAGATAAGAGAACGCTCAGTTGAATCTTTGGTTAGATCTGTTGATACTTCAATCTTTTAAAAATGTGCAAAGATTTGTAAAATATTATTTCAAGATTAAATAGCAGTGGAATATGTATTTTTCATTAAAAATGCCATAAGTGAATCTAAGTACCATTTGAATTTGTCATGTTATAACAATTTTAATAACATTGAGGAAATTGTTAATACATCCATACTGATTTTAGGTTGTTCATTTACTAATTACATTGCATATCTTGTTACAGACAATGTTTCCGTTGAACGTTTAAGTTATAAATTGATTGTGATCTCTGGTACAAGTACTGCAACTGATATTATGGTCTCTGCTCATCACAGGTGGGAAACCAAGATGTACTGTTGGGATACAGAATCTTCTTGAAAGTAAGGATGTTTTCAGCTACTTTTTCTTTCATATCTTGTAACAGCTAAAATAGATTGTAACTTCATAATTGTATTTGCCCTTTTTGTAGATGCAATTTCTAGACAAAAGCCATGGATAAGAAAGAAAGCCCATCTCAAATACAAAAGCAAAGCAGGAGAACAAAGAAGACTATGGAAAGTTTGCATCCAGATCGATCATTAGAAATGCAAGGCAGTTTAGAATTTTTAGAAGGGAAAGACATAAATGAGGTCGGTGAGGATAGTGAAGTTCAGGAGGACGTTCCAGAATTGTCACATCCACAGAAGAGGCGTTCTAGCAACAAATCATCTAGTAGCAGGTCACATCGTAAAAAGGACATTCCTAAGACTGTCATCACAGCAGTACTGGAGGAACTGAATGATGACATAATAAGTGAACCTACTAGACTTGACACAGGTGAAAAAAGAAGGCAATGATAAGTGCTGTCTTCTGTGATGTTATATCCTGTAGTCCATTAGTTTGAAGGGTCATGTCTCCACTGTCACAGTTAAAGAGTAAGCAGGCAAGCAAACAGAATGTTGCTTGTTTGCCTGCTTACTCTTTGATCCTGAAAATGGTGGCAGTAATTTGTCAGGAACATTGGTAAACTTATACCCGTGTAGATAGTCTACCATCCCAGGATATAGTACTCTGTACAGTCACTGCCATGGGAACTTGAATTATCACAAGTCACTGTTTGAGTTTTGTAACACATATCAGAACCATCATGTAGAATAGGGATGGCAAACCGGTGGTACCAGTGCCAAGATTGGCACCAAGATATGAGCAGGTACTAATGATTGCATGTTTAGTCTGTATTAACATGTGAAATCACGTGATAATTCAGTAGTTCACAAAGCCAGCATTGTTTTTCACACCATACATTTTTGCTGTTACTTATGTTTCCATTATGTAGGTGTTGTAACTTCATCCCAGAAATTCTTGTTTGGTTGTATGTCCTGACATCAGGTAGTTAGTGGACGAATAGAATTAAGTTATGCAGGCTAATAAGGTTACTGTGATATTATAAGTAAGATTTACATAATGATACTTCATTCTCCAAGTGTCTCTTATCGGTACAATATTTTTGTCATCAGGTGACTGTTCAGTGGTGGAACCAGTTCCACAAGCTCCTGCTAGTCTACCCCCAGACAAGGTGTATGTTGAGCGTAAGAATGGGTTTGCTACGGCACCAAGAGTAAAAATGTTCCGTCCGATAAATTACATCAGAGAAGATCTTGTTGATGTGCAAAATGCAGAGTCCTCTGGAACACCTCTTGAACTTGCCATACTTGTCCAGAAGTGGTGCCATCCACTCTACACACTATGTCATGGCTTGCTTGGTGGTATGGCATTGTTGCATATTATTTTGGTGAGTGCCCACTCAGATGGTGGCCCCATATTCTGTCAGGTTCTTACAAACTTATTGAGGCTTTTGAGAATGTAGTATATATTACATAATAATTTGTCCACATCTGCTTTGATGTCCAGACAGCCTCTTTTCCTGATGGTAAAGTTAACTGGCATGCGAAGATGAGCACCTGTCTCTATACAAAGTGAACAACATAACATTATCACTTTAACTCCTTTAATGCCCCTCATATCAGGTAAAGCTTCAGATAAAATTTTCATGGTTTCAAGGGAGACACATGGTGCATGAAACAGATTATTTTTATCTTGTATTTTTTTTTACAGAATGTCATGGTCAGCTTCACTTTTTTAAAATAAAAGTTGATTTTTTCACTCCGCAAAAATTAGAGTGGATCAGTATGAATCCAGGGACCATAATTTGAGTACCATTCTGGTGAATCATTCGTGTGATATCCCAACTCAGAATACAAGATTAATCTGCTTTGCTACTGCTTTGGCAGTTGGAATAAGCTTTTTCATAGCACAGTTAACTCATGTGCTTTGAGTCATGATAGCACACAAATGATTCATCAGAATGGTACCCAGTTTATGATCATCGGATTCATATTGCTCTGTTGTGCAACTTTTGTTGGAATGAAAAAATCAAGTTCTATTTTAAAAAGTGAAAGTGGCCTTGATATCTCATAAAAAACACAAGATACAAATAATTTGTTCCATGCAAGATGTGTCCACCTCAAAACCAAGGAAATTATGTCTGATGCTTTTCCTGATGCACTGGATAATAAAGAAGTTATTTGAGATGATTACTTTAAGTGGTTCAGTCGTGTAATGGCATGGATAAGGTTCATTGGAGCTTTGGCATCATTTCCTGATATGCGTGCATTGCATGGAATTTAGGCAGAGAAATTTGTAACTACAGTGGAACCCTATTTTTCTTGAATTTAAGTTAATCCCTCATTTAATATATGATTTCATTGTTGTCAAGTTACACTACTTGCATATAAGATTTTCCTCAGTTTTTTGTTCATATCTCGTGCTTCCAAAACAGCCCTTAAATGATGGTTTTGCCTTATACAGTATAAGGTAAATGTCACAGCATCTGACTGATATATGTATGCTTTAATATTAAGGGAATAGATGCATACTACATTTAGAGGTACTCTATGTTTTCAGTGACAATTTAATATGAGTATTTTAGATGACTGAAATTACAGAATAGCCATTCTCTTCACTGTGAGTGCAGGTGTATGCTGCTGGGGACTCATATAACCAGGGTACCAACTTTGTGTACATGTATACACATTATGCCAGAGTATACCAATCTCTGTTCCACATCTTGTGCATTCTCTGCTCTGTGTCTGTACTGGACAGGTAAGGTTTTAAAATATACGTATAGGAATAATTAAATTATTGGACCTTGTTAAATATGTATAGTACTGACAGCAAGTCTTAACAAGTCTGAGTTATGGTGTAGCTATTTGATTTTTCAACTTGTTCCACAAGTGAAGCCAGAAGTAACAAATGTGTAAGTTACAAGGGACATTTTATAAGTTTCTTTTATCTTATTACTTCAAACTACAGGCACAAGATATCCGTAAGAACAACATGTGTTGAAATATTTGCATCTTTTTCAACTAGAGATTTAAGAAATTGGTAACCAGACTGAAGAACACTGCTTTTGATTTCTTAGTGTTCCTAGAAGTTAAAAAGGAATTTTAATGTTGTCACTTTGAATTAATAAGGATCTTAACAACTGTATTAATATGGATGTACTGTACAGCTTTGTCATCTTTTTTTTTTTTCTTTTTTAAAATGTTTAGGTACAGAGTATTTTGAAGAACAGTAAATACGTTTCAGAAAGTTGTGTTTCTTCTTTTAATAACTTACTAGTCTTGTTACTTTTCAGCTTTCTTTTGCATTGCTTGAAGATGTTTCTTTACTCGTCATCTATTCATGATTGCTGTATTCTTTTCAATGACAGATGTGATGCCAAACATATGGATGTTGGTCACCTGGTGGACTTGTTTAGATATCATATCACTACTGTTCTGATCCTTGCTGTTTATTTGATTACACTTGTCCTGACTTTTGTAACCATCAAGTGGGATGACTGGCTGGCCCTTTCATCATACAGTGCCTCCGTTAAAAACAATTCAGTATGTATATTCCATATTCAAAAATAAATATACAGCATTGATATATTAGCTGTGTAGTTCCAAGTAGGAATAATAATAATAATATTATATTGTATTATATATATTATTATTATTATTATTATTATTATTAGTATTGGCACTACAACCCTTTGTGGGTCTTAGCCCGCCCTAAAAACTTCAGTATAATATTATTACATTATTTTAAACTGATATTTACATAACACAACTTTCAAATGTCATTAATTGTTATTTTTGTGATATATCCTACTTGAGCTATATGTTGATCTACACCATGTTCAGAGTGCAGGCTGATTGGACATTGATTTTACTATTGACAGCTTCCTGAGAAAGTGCTATATCACTTGCTCAGAAAAATGCTGCCGCGCAGTCTGTACAGCGAGCACACGTTGTTTACTTCTTTCGGTAGTTATTAACCCTTCACCGCGGTCATTTTTCAGTGTGGTCATTTAAATTCCCCTGCCGTGTCTCTCCGGCGGTAATATTTTCAGCCCATTTAAATTTTGCTCGAGAATCTTTTATTCATCATTATTTTTTAAATTATATGAGATATAAACATGAAACTTTCACTAAAATGATCTTAAAAGTTGGTTTTATAATCTTACCTTATAATATGAGCGCCCTGTATCTCGGCAATGGAAGCAGGTGGTTTAGAATTTCAGTAGTGTATGATACGCTTTGAAGCATTCTACACACAATGCTGCCTCACATTTACCACACCAATACTGAGTATCTTTCCTGTGGCCCTTTCTCGCGCACACCACACACCTTCTGTAAGGTCTTGACTTCTTCCCCGAGGGGGGAAGACGCCCCGGGAAATACAGACCTCAATGTAGGCCTCTGATCAATGCCAATCAACATAATTAGTGCCAAAACCACGTACATTTCGTCCACTGTCACATCTTCCCACTTCCGAATTCTAGAGCGAAATGTGAGAGGTCTGGCGATTTTCGATATTTCCTGTTGAGCATACTCGTTTGTTCATCACAATCAGCTGCACAAGGGAAATATCGAAAATGCTTTCAAAGGCACTGACAACATCTAGTTCGGCAGTGTCGAACTTGGGACCACACACACACCACAAAACGATTCTCGCGAAGCGTGAAATGATTCAATATCTTCCCACACAAATGTCCTGGACACCTCTTACAATCCATCGTGGGCCATGATATTCTCATGGTCACTGCCACTTTCACTAGCACTGTTGGTCTCAGGTGGCACCAGTTGTGTGTAATCATAGTCCGATGCACTGTCATCATCGGAACTATAATTACTTAGGGTTTCGTCGTCCAATACTTCATCCAGCACGGTCACTAGTTCGACCTCCGCCAGCGCACAACTTGTAGGAGGGCCAGCCATGGTAAGACGATGCTCAAATTTTCGAAGTCAGGCATCCTTGCAACCTCGGCTGCAGTAAATTTGAGCATTGTCTTACCATGGCTGGGGTTGCTTCTACGCATTTATTTTTCCATCCAAGACTTCAGTAGATGTATTTACATACACTGGAGACCAGCCAGAGCGATAATACATGTAGGTATGAGTTATTTTCTTCTTTCCTCACTGGGGGGTGAACACAGTGCTCTGACGTTATTCTAAGAACTGGCTGCCTTGTATATTACGAATAATGTGTACTAGCAAGACAACATTTCTGGGCACCCCTTTATGAATGGCTTGGTCTGGTATTTCCTGCTGAAGGTAATATGACCTGCTGAATGGAATATGAACTTATTTTATCAGTAGATAAAGGCAAACATGGTCAGTCAACTGTTTACTTCTCCGAAGCATAACATACAGGCCAGAGTTTTGTGCTGAAACTTCTCGAAGCAGCACACTATTTGCTGCAAGACAGGCATACGTAACGATACACACTGTACTTCTGACAATAGACCAGCGAAAAATTTCACAAAACACAATAAACCCATCAATTTGTATGGGCGTAATAAATTAGGCCTGCAGCTGGACAACGTAGCAGTCAAACCACAGCCAACGATTTAAACGCCCAAGACGAACAGAGACGTCAAACCGCGCCTAAGGGTTAATCAGATATAATAATTAATATTGTACTCACCATCATAGAAGATGTAAAATGTCTACTCTCTGCTGTGGGACATGTATGAATTCTTCTAAACAGATTTTGGGGAACTTGTTACAATTCACGTTTGCTGAATGTTGAAAATTCTTCATGAATATTCTGTTTGAGAGCCTCCAGGCCACATGGATTGTTGGCATACACAACAATTTTGAGTTTTCCCCACAATCACAGGGATTTAGATCTGGGGATCTAATGATCTAATGATTCTGTTGTCCCCATTTAGTTCACCAAACACACTGCATAATGCTTGGATAGTTTCCTTAGGTGTGTGTATGTGGAGTAGCACCGTCTTGCATAAAATAACTGAATCTTTCTTCTGCAGGTGCCAAATTAATGAAAAATGGATCGAGTATTTCATTAATGTATCATTGAGCATCAAGATTTCCTTCATAAAATATCGGTCCAGTTATGTGGTTTGCACTAATTTCACACCATACACCTGCCTTCTGTTGTAAGGGGGAAGTTGAATTAGGGCATGAGGATTTTCACTACTCCAATACCTGTAGTTTTGTGAGTTAACATATCCTAAGAGAATAAAATTAGCATCATCTGTGAAAAATATCAGCTTAGGATCAAGAAGTCTGTCATGCACATGACTGATAAACCAATTACAAAACCTCACTCTTTTTTCATAATCCATAGGTTTAATTTCAGGAACAACAGTAATTTTATATGGACAAATATGCAACAGTTTAGTTGCTGTCCGTGCACTGCCTACAGAAACACCACTTTGTTGTGCTAATCACAGCAAAGATTTTCGAGGAGAGTTTTCTAATCGGTGACCGATGTCATCAAGTTTTTCCACAGTTAAAACACAATTTCTTTTAACAGCTTTCTGTCAATTAAAATGTCGTGGGTTCGAACTTTCTTCACTAATTTGGAAATTGTATCTCGAGACAGACATGTTGTCAGGAAATTTATGGCAAAATTTCCTCATGCATGATTTGTATGAGTTTTTTTCACATAACGGTCATAAACAAAAACTTGTTCTAAATTGTATCTCACATGAGCCATAAAGATAGAACAGAGATGGTTTGGTGCAGATCATATAGTAGTAGGGGGGAATACATATCTGAGTTAGCACTGTCTGCATAAGTTCAGATCAGGCAGTTTTGGTCTTGTTTGACTAATACAGTACCTGATATATTAAATAGAATGGTTAAAGATTACTATCTTCTGTGATGTGATGCCATATAGTCTAACAGAAAGTTACATATATAAAGAAGCTTCTGTAACACTTGATGACACAACACTGACTGACTCACTGATCAGGTGATCACAGAATGAATGACCTTCAGTTTGTCAGGGAATCCTGCTGTGAATCCCAAGACAACATACCAACAAGCCCCCCAGACGTCTGATAAGCCTGCACAATGAACACTCTGTACAAGATGAATACAACTTGTTATACCTAATAAACAGTAAATATACAGTCACTTATATACATGTTTTCATTATTCTGTACAGGACACAGCAAATGCACTGAAAGTATGGGAGAATCTGAATCTGTTTCGCAGCATTGGAGCTATTTTAGGCTGGATTCTGACTGCCTTCAGTACAGATGAAGATATGCTATACTTACACCTGTGCAACATGCTGAAATACCAGAGTGTAACTGCACCGATACCAGCACGATACTAGGCTTCATTCAGTTCTGATGGTTTGGTGGAGATCATATAGTAGTAGGGGGGAATACATATCTGAGTTAGCACTGTCTGCATAAGTTCAGATCAGGCAGTTTTGGTCTTGTTTGACTAATACAGTACCTGATATATTAAATAGAATGGTTAAAGATTACTATCTTCTGTGATGTGATGCCATATAGTCTAACAGAAAGTTACCAGTATTTTGGAGGAATTGGTGTCTCCTAGATCCCCATAGATCTGATTGCACTTCTGTCCTGAAGAGGGAGGCGGCAGATGCATGTGAAATATTTGTGATTCTCAACTACACATCACATGCCAGAAGACAGTAATCTTCATATCTACTGCTGGGAGAATATAAAGTGTCACATGCTGTGTAGAATAGGTCACACTACATTCACTGAAAGTCATAAATCCCAGATCTTGCAAGGCAATGTTAAATTTTAGCTTTGGAACATCATCATCCTAAAAGAGTTCATAGAAACTGCGCAGTTCAGGCTACCACAGTGTACTGGATCAATCTAGACAGTAAGCTAGAGTGTTATGGATTTGGCCAATGAAATCCTACTGAATATCTGGTAAGTGTAATTCATTGGGGAAATGCACTAATAATATTAGAAAAGTTATAAACGTGTTTGACCATAAACATTTTATAATAAATCATTAAAAGAAGTGTCTTATGTACCTGTAAAAGTATTACGATGAAGCATAATCACAATCTGTAAGTAACAATATGTTACACATGAAGAAACTATGAGGGAGAGTCAGTGAATGGGCCATAAATGGATATAAAACATAAAACGTGATATTCAGATCTTGAAAAAATATTTATTTCTCAACATATCCTCCACAAACATTGTCCCATCACTTTACCACTATGTCAAAACTCTCAGCATATATGTCTTTTGACTGTTGTCTCAGGTCCTTCCATACCTCCATTTCAACCTCTTCATCATCATCATCACAACATTTGCCACCAAAGGTGGTATTTAGCAGACCAAAGGGATGAAACTCACTAGGGACAAAGTCCAGGCTGTAAAGCGGATGTTAAAGAAGTCCCCACTTTAGTGTTTGAATTCTTTTCTGGGTTGCTTGGGCTGTATGGGTTCTGGCATTGCCATGAAGAAGCAGTACCCCTCTTGCTAGTTGGCTTGGACATTTGCTGTGAATTGCACCCTGATGCTTAAACAGAACTTCACAGTACGATGCAGAATTCACATTTTCACCACCGTTTTGAAAATGGGCTAACAGTGACAGTAAGCATAACCTTCACAGCTGATGATGTAACTTCAGATTTTTTGGTTGAAGATGAACTGGATGTTTCCATTGCACTGAAGCACACTTTGATTTGGGTTGGTAGTAATACACCCATGATTCGTCCCCAGAGACAGTCCTGTTAAGCATATCTTCTCCATCAGCATACTTTAAGAGGTGTTGCAAGCACAGGTCAATTCGGTTAGTTTTTTCTCGATCCTTCAGTTCTCTGGTCTCCCACCATGTGCACACTTTCCAGAACTTCAAATGATCATGCATTATATTAAACCACGGGTACACCCTAGTGCAGTTGCATGCTATTATTATCCTCCTGTCAGCTTAAATCAATTCTTCCATCCATGCTGCACAGTTACTCTGTTACAGTCACAACAGGGCGGCCTGCAACTTTGAAATGCCCTTGAGAGAATTTCTTGATTCAGTTATGATCCACACAGACACTTCCCACCATAAACAGGAAACATTTAATTAGAATATCCTTTGCACTGAGTCCTTTTGCCCACAAGAAAAGCGCACAACAGAACACTGCTCTTCAGTAGCATACATCTCAAGCATGATCACCATTTTGACCACTAAAACCAGCCTCTGAACATGCATATGCATGTTTTACTTCCATTTGTGACCTATTTACTGACTCTCCCTCAGATAATGAATTTATAATTTCACTTCACTCTATATTTTAAACGTACATAGAATATTAAAATATTAGATTGTATACTGTAATTTATAAAATGTAAAGACTGGTCACATAACCTTATTAACAAACCCAGTGAGTTGCTGTAATATAGGCATTAAATTATCTCTAAATTTACTGCATGACTCCACTACCTTATCCTTTAATAATGTCATCACATGATATCCTAACTGCTTCATGACATCTCAGTACCATTTCATTTATCCTGACATCAGTGTCTGAATACTAAAATATCTCTTCTGTGTACGTTGTGTTCAATTTTATAAGAAGGCATCCAGAAGGTTTTCCCTTTCCACAACTTTGAATATATGATACATTCCGATTTTTATTCTTAGCATGTAGCATTTTCTTTAACCAGATTCAGGTTAACTTCAATATCAGTGTTGCCCTCCGAATTCTGTATGGCCATGCCGTCATACAAATTATCAGTCTCCTCTCAGTTCAAGTAAAGGCGTATGGAATTCTAATGAGACAACTCTGGTCTAGGATTACTGTTACAAGTTAGTGGGTTTGCATAATTACACTAGAACTTGGTTGTAACGTCATCAAAGGGACCTAAAAATAGTGTCGTTATAAACGAATGTCTTTGTAACAGAAATGGGCACTTCCACAGTAGCCTTATGTTAGTCACGTAAAAATCTACCAAAAACCGAGTTAAAATGTTGCATTTTTAGTGAAATACGTATAGTTAAGTACAGACTAACGTAACATTAACGTGGAATTAATATGGATTCTCCATATCGTTTGTACTGTAGAATTCACCAAACCAAATTCGTGGCATTCATCAGCTTTTTTCCTTCCATTTTCTATTTCACGAATCACTTTAACTTTCTCTTCAGTGCTTAAAACTTTCCTTTTCATTGCCATGTTTTCGCTACTGCACTTCTCTGGGTTTAGGCAGGAACACTATAGGGTAAGTAGACAATGTGAGGTCCTGTTAGATTCTAGGAAAGGAATGCAGTTAACAACCTGCCACGTCCTCTTGCACTATTCACGCAGTCCCACCCCACACCCTTGTTTTCGCATAAAACCCATGCTCCTCTCGCAGCCCGCGGTCGTATTCTTCCAG